TATATATACTCATACATACGATGTAATACAATGGCCGTCATTGGTCCGTCTTATCAGTACAAGGTCAGGCACACACTATGAGGTATGGGTGTGTCGTCGATAAGCATCATGAGGTGGCCATAAGGCCGGGCCGACTATACGTACCGAGGTTTAGGGTCGGCTGTACCTAGGCTAGGTCGAGAATCATGACATCATGTTCTAGATTAGTGACATCATAGCACATGATATCCAAAAGTCTCACCTCTAGGTGAGGCCTCGACATTGCGAACTGCGAGAATATTCCAACTTGGGCCGGAGCCCGTTCGCATGGCCCATGCCAGGGACCATTGTAATATAAGCTTCTGCTCAAGGTTCAATCACCTTGATTGAGTGTCAAAATCTAAAATCGAAATCCAGGGGAAAAGTCCAGAGTCGAAAAGACAGAGGAAAATGAAAAGAAATTCCACGTCTTTGTTGTTCATCGTCAAAGTGCGGCCTCACATGATTCTTGAAATCAGAGGCGGAATCGGTGAAAAAAAGAAAAAGCCAGAGGCCAGAGCTGTTGCTGCACTCCGCCTCCCTTTCAGTCGCAACCTTCTTGCTGGTTGCTCCCTTCAGGTCGCTCGTCCTCGAGCTACTTCGTGTATCTCTTCGGACTCGTGATGGAAGTTCCTTCGTCACTTCTTTTTGAAGCTCGGCTCACTCAGCCCTGCGCTCTGCGCCGCTTGACCCGTTTGCCTCACTTGTCGGTGGACCTTTGCAGGTCCGTAAGCCTTCAGCAGGCTTACACCTCCTCTATACCCTGGCCTCAAAATTGGCAAAAGCCCAATTATTCTAGGCTACCATGGGTAAGAGTCATTTTCATAGGGAGGAAGGGCGGGAAAAAATTGAGCCCTGTGGTAGGGTTCCTCGCTCTCGCTTGTCACCCGGGCTCCTAAAGCCCAATTACTTCAGCTCGGATATTCATCCTCGCTTACTATGCCTATTAGCTCCCGCTCAAGGCTCAAGTCACCCTCGACTTAAAAACCATTCTTCACAACTGGAGCATTCAGCTGTCTTCTAGTTTAAGGTCATTACGGACTTGCGGTGCTCATTTGACATCTGAGCAACATCCTTCTAGTTTATAGTCATTGCAGACATGTGTTTCTTTTTGAGAAGTCGGACAGTGTCCTCGTGGTCCCGATTTACCACGATTCTTCTGTAAAATCTCATCTTGAACGTCCCTGCCTCATCCTTTTAAGGTATGGTCAGACTCTCGTCTGAGATTGTCGGCGGTTCTGGGATAGTGGTCCTGTAAAAGCTGGAGCTCCAAAGCTCCATCCGTTCGAACACATAAGCACGATGATGTGTTAGAACTTCCGGTTCACTTCGGGTGGGGTTCTACAGTCTCGGAATGGGCCCGGTGACTAGCCGTTTGGTGTAGCCCTTCGCATCTCCGGAATACGTGTGCATCACCCACACAAGGGGTTCTTCGAAGTTTCTTATCAAGTCAGTCGATAAGACTATTGGGCCCTCAGGCTATTTGCACCAGCATAGACTCCTGGGGAAGCACTCTTCAAGTGCTGATTTGTGTATCAACCGGTTTCTACAGAGCACCGGTGTCTGTCACTGTCTCCGAAGGAGACCTTCAACATTTCTAATCGTCGGGATGACTATGGCCTTATCTTGGGTCAATGTCGCATGAAAGCGACTATCCTCCTTCACATTCCGTGAATGCCACAGTCCTGCCATTCGGCTTTCATTTCGTGTTTATTCGTCCAAGTCGATATTTCAGTAATTCATCAGGAGCAGAGAGCGTCAGCTCCCGCTCAAGATTCCATTCAATATTCCAATATCGTTCGTACCCCGGCCCGGGTTCGTACCCTGGCCCAGGCATGTACTTCGTTATTGTTTCTCATCGGGTCTTATCGTGCATCAGCATCGAATAGAATCGACTGCCTCTGTCCATATTCCATGGATGCCCTATTCATTGTGTGTTCCAGTTTCGTGTGTCATTCCTAATCCACGGGAAACAACCTCTCACATGGCATCGAAATTGCCATTCATTGCTGTTCTAAATCATCCAAGTGATGAGGCATCAGCCTACATCAAATCCAAGGGTCGGCCGTGACCCAGTGTCCTTTCTATCCATGGGGAATTACCCCTCGCATGTCATTGAAAGCACCTTGTTGAAGGCTTCTGTCAGGCTGGTTTATACGGATCACCAGTGTCCGTCCAAAGTCATGCCATCTGGCAATGACCATTCAAGTTATGTCGATTTCGATCGTACTTGTTTATCAGTGCCATCTATTCACGGGGAACAACCCCTCGTGTGTTTCGAAAAGCGTGCCCTTCCCAGGGGCTTGGTTTATAAGGGTTGCCAGCGCCCTTTCTTCATCAGGTTCGGGGAATTTAATCCCTCACGATTCATCTTCCGGTAAGATATCGTTCGATGTTCGTTGGTTTATATGGAGAGCCAATATCCGTATTGTCATCGGGTTGGAGTGTCGCATACTGTTAACCTCCAAATCTTTCTTTCTTCAATTCGTTGTTCATTGAAAGGCGTGAAAGTTCGCCTCCTCGAGCCTTCGGCCTAGGCTCGGACATCGTCATTGTGTTGCCTCCAGTTAACTCTGTGGTGCCCTTCACCTTTATATCCTTCCAGCGCTGCGTTCATTGGAGCCTCCCTTCAGCCGTCGTTCATCAATCAGACCTTTTGGTTATTGCATCAAGGTCTTTAGGTTGGTTTCTTTAATGTCGAGAGCCATGATCAACATTCATTTTCGGATGTGGTGTGTCAACCACTGATATCGCGTGTACCCCGGCCCAGGCACTGTTCATCATCGAGAGAATCGAACTGGTTTATTCTTCGGGTATCCAGTTCCCGCATTCATCGATTGAGACCTCGAGCTCATAACGCTGGTCATTCCAACCTCTGGTGCTAATCATTGCCTTTGGCCTTCATCGGAGATTGTGCCATCTGGCAACAACCATTCTTGTCAATCAACTCGTAAGATACTTGAGTTGTCAATCTTTCTGCACCCTGGGCAACTCACCTCACTAGGTGTCATCAGCTAAGATCTATCATTTGTTTATAGTGGATAGTGAATGTCCACTCGAGCGATGGTTTGTTTAGCCTCGAGAGCCATTATCGAGGGTTCAGTCGAGATCGTCTTTTTTGTTATTCGATCATTCTTGTCAGAAGGTATCTTCCAGCTTCGCGGATTCATTCGTCGTCGGCTAAACAGCCCGTTGCTTGTCTCGAAGCACATACTCTGTGCACCGTCTTGCTGGTTGTGAGAGTGATTACCTCAGCCTCCTCGGCCTATTGGTCTCTCAGACAGACCCCTCTCTGAGGATCAGTGATCAGTTTGTCTCTAGCGGCAGCCTCAGTCACAAGTGTGACCTCAAGCGGCGCCTGGCAACCGAACTGGGTGCACCCCTGGAGGGTAGGTGTTCGGCATCATCGGTGTTCGTCGTTCATCATGAATCATCAGTGGTAGTGATCAAGACATAAGAGTAAGAGCACGTAGCGTAGTCCCTGCTACTGCTCGTCCATCCTTCTGTCATTCTTATCAGTGAGCTATCCAGCTCGTGGTTGTGTCCGTCATCGTCAATGTCATTCATCGAAGTCCAATCCAGGACTGGGGGATCGTCAGAGATCTTGGTCATCAGAGTCGGAGCCATCATCAATGTCTTCGATCATCAGAGTCGTGGTCGACAGGTCGTCATCGTCAATGTCGTCAAGTGTCGCCAGATACAGTGAATGCCTTAGACCATGGTAGGTCAGGCAAGCAAGGGAAATCTGAACCTTTTGTTATGAGGGAACCCAAGGGGCGACCCGAGTACACGCCAGCCTTTAGGAGGCTTAAGTCGTCGATGCCAACTGGCCCCATCGGGGACCGGTGCAAGACTCAAGCGATCATCCTCAAGCCAACACGCACCAGATATGGTCTATGAATGGGTAGGTTCAGATTAAGGAACCTATCTAATACATGCCATGTATATATACTCATACATACAATGTAATACAATGGCCGTCATTGGTCCGTCTTATCAGTACAAGGTCAGGCGCACACCATGAGGTATAGGTGTGTCATCGATAAGCATCATGAGGTGGCCATAAGGCCGGGCCGACTATACGTACTGAGGTCTAGGGTCGGCTGTACCTAGACTAGGTCGAGAATAATGACGTCATGTTCTAGATTAGTGACATCATAGCACATGATATCCAAAAGTCTAGCCTCTAGGTGAGGCCTTGACATCACAGTTGCGAACTGCAAGAATGTTCCAACTCGGGCCGGAGCCCGTTCGCATGGCCCATGCCAGGGACCGTTGTAACAACTTTCAGGGTTTATATACTAAAGAAGGTGGGAAAATCTAAATAATAGAAAAGCGCCTTCAATAGAAATAACAATAGAAAATGTGATAATAGAAGTCTGAGTCATAACAATAAGAAATGACTCTGGATAAAACAAAAGAGAGTGGGGGATAATAAAAATAATAAAGACAATAGAAACCTACCTCGCTATTGTCCTTCTAAGTGTCAGACATTAGTCAGCAAAGATGACCAAGCACTTCAGTGACTAAAAACAGACAGAGTAATAGCGCAAACACGCAGTGATCAATATTTGAGTATAATACTTGGACGTGTGTGAGTGGAGAGGTTGAGCAAGTGTGACAGCGAGTACAAAGAAAAATTCCTCGTCAATCCTAAATCCACGATGTTCCCTTCCCTCTGAATCCTTCAGCATAAACTTCTTCCTGGTCTCCAGTGCATGCGAAGTCTAGCTCATAAGCTTCGCCATAAATACGAGCTCTGGCATGCACAGCCTTGGAAGCTTTGGCCTTGGCTTTCATTGCCTTATTGTTGGCCTTGGCCTTGGATCGCTCCACTTGCCAAGCTCGATATCTAGAGTATTGTGTTAGTTATGCGAGTTTTATATTGAAACATGTTACACGTCTGTCACCTGCCCCACACTTTAGAATGCAACGTCCCCGTTGCTGGCTATCAAGAAGAAACTAAAGAGTAAGAAAGGAACTCACACTTGGAGTTTTGCCATCAAGTAGTGACCGACGCGTGGTGAGCGACGACAGGCAAAGCATTCAAGGAAGGGGATGTTGAGGTAGGTAACGTCAATAGTCACCGTGACGGGCTCAAAGACCATCATTCTATACTCCTCTTTTCTGACCGTCTTCGACATCATCCACCCTCCAATCTGAACCTTTCCTTCACCCAAAATCTTGTCGATTGTTCCCAAAAAGAATGGTCCAATGACCAGGTGTACGACTGCCCAGTTGTTCAAGTCAAAGTACACATCGTTGGAGAGAGCAGGCTCCGGAGAAAGTAGGTAGTGAGTCGCCTTGCTATACTCGAGATAAAAGGGTTTTTCATCAGGGATGAGTGCAACAAAGAGATTCTGGAGCTCAATCTGGGGACGTGGGCAATCGAAGTCTCCAGCAATGATGTGCGGATCAGAAGAGATGGTGGTGAGATAGGTAGGAGGTTCATAAGGGGGGAACAGGAGAGCGGGCTGAGAGTAGCACGACATAATGACAAAGATAGCAGGCAGTTAGAAGCACAATGGCAAGGTGAGAAATAAGACGTGTAGAGGTTGCTTTTCGACTGAGGGAATACGCGGCAAAGACCAAAAATGATGTGCAAGCACGTGACCATGTTTATGTTGGCAACCAGTTATCAGAGGAATCTGAATCTGAGGATATATCTGGGTGATCAGGATCGCTGGATCCATCTGAATCTAGATCTTCCAGATCCAGATTGGATGGTACACGTGGCAGATATGGGAGTAATCGGAATGCTGCAACTGCGCGTCTAAGAACTGTTCCGTCTAATTCCTGCAACACATATGATTCTCCACGTCGCTTTCATCGAATCTGATATGGTCCAAAATACCTTTGACTATACTTGTCTGTCAGACCGGCATCTCGCCTTGTGTTACGCATCAATACTAAGTCTCCTGACTTCAATACTTTCCGCCGGAGTCTATGTTTAAACCGCTTTTCAAACTGATGCTTCGAGTGCAATCTAGACTGCTTGATTGCAGCTGCTGCCCATGCAATATCCTCTGGCCACTTTTCTAATTGTCTGATGTGCAGCGCAAGAAGGTCAGATGATGATAGTCCAGATGTGTATCTGCTTATCATAAAGGTCGCCTCTGTGAGATCGAATGGCAACACTGGGTCTACGCCATGCAGCAAATAAAAGGGGCTAAATCCTGTTGACCGCCTAGTGGTAACTCTGTCTGCAAAGAATGCATGGTGTACTTTGTTTGGCCAGGACTTGAGATCCTTCTTCACATCTTTGAGTATTCCCTCGCATATTACAAAATGACCTTGCTCAACTAGTCCATTTGCATGCTTGTTGTAGGGAGAAATTCTGATTTGTGGAATGCCATATCTTTGCAAAAGCTTCTCAAAGGTTCCTGCCACTTCTGAACCATTATCCGTTACAACCTCTGTGATATGTCCATAGCGGCATATGATTTTCTCCCAGAAGAACCTCGCTAAGTCCTTGGAATTGGCTTTCTTTAAGGCCCGTCCTTCTGCTGCATGTGTCAAATCATCTCTCGCAGCAACAATGTAGCAATATCCTCGAGCTGGTGGCATAAATATAACATCAAGGTAAATCTTGGAAAATATAGTTGCTGGTGTGCGTATAGTGGGAGATTCCTCTACCCTTTTTGTACTCCATAATTGGCATTGGTGGCATGTACTAATATGGTGTTTTATATCTTGAAATAAATGGGGCCAGAAGAAACGGTCACGAATATGATAGAATACTCCATAAACTCCCCTATGACCTAGTTCTTCATGTGCATGTGTTAGTATAAAGATCCTATGATCCTTGTCTAATATAACCAATAAAGGAGTGTGGTCACGTCTTCGCTTGAACATAGATTCGCCTTTCATAAAGAACTGTCCTGCACGTCTAATAAATCTTCGCTTGGCTTGAGTGTTAGAGAAGTCTGGTGTCTGTAGAGTCTGAAGGAAATGTCTGATATTTCGCAATGTCTCCTCTTGCTTGGAATTCACTGCTAGCGATGAGGGTAATTGGTGAACCAGGGTTTGATCTGGCTTGGGCACGTGATTAAGATACAGTGATAGAAGTGCTATCTCATCCAACCAATCATCTGACTTAGGAACTTCTGCCAATTCTTCTTCTGTTGGTTCACGCCGTGAGAGAGCATCAGGTCCACGATGCTTATCAGCAGGAACATGTCGCAATTCAAAGGTAAATAGCAAAATGCCCTGGATCCACCGATTGATCGTGGCATTCAGCTGAAGATCCGGATTATTCAGCATGTCTTTGATGTACTTGGCATCAACTTCCAGAATCAAGTTCTTGATGCCTGCTAAATAAAGTCTCCAGTGTCGCATGGCTCTATAGCATCCGTATAGCTCCAACTTGGGCTGACTATACCTGGACTCACGCTCATTAAAAGGTAGAGAACCATAGCGGGCTGGTCTCCATCTGCCTTGTTCATCATCTTGCAACAAGATAAAACCAACTGCGATGACACTAGTGTCTATGGATATGTAGACAGGTCAATCCGATGAATAATCAATAGGGCATAAGGCAGGTGCGGATGTAATAAGATCCTTCAAGCAATCAAATGCTTCTTGTCGCCTATCATCCCATACAAATTCAGCATCCTTCCGTGTTAGTTCAGTTAGTGGTCGTGCAATTTTGGAGTAGTTCTTTATCCAAATGCGCACTGTACCACATAATCCTAAAAATCTCCGCACATCCTTTGCAGTCTTCAAAACTGGCCAGGTAAGAATTTTATTTACTTTTGAATTTTCTGGAAGTCGTCCTTCTGGGGTGCATGTCTGTCTAACTATAACTGCATGGGGTTTACATAATTGGGTCTTAAAAGCAGAGAAGGTAGCGCCTGCATGTTCCCATATAAATCGCCTAATTCCTGGGTTTTCTGGTAATGTCTCTGGCTCTCCATTTTCTTGTATATACATAGTTTTTGGTCCATGGATGGGTAAATCATCAATAAAAATGTTCACGACATGGGGGATCTCGTCTTGTAAAATAAAGACCATACAATTCTGGAATTCTGAAGGAGAGTTGGTGAAGCCTTGAGGCATACAAGTGAGTCGTAATAAACTGAGTGGAGTTAGGAATGATGTAAGGTCACGACTTTTAGGATCAACCTTGCGCTCATCGAATCCAGAAAATAAATCAAAGACTGTGTAGCAAGCATGTCCTGCAAAGGGTTTTACAAAGTCATCCAGGATGGGCGGGACACCTGCATCTCGAATAGTTACCCGATTGAGTGGTTGTAGATCATGGACGATTCGCAGTTTACCGCTCTTCTTGATTACGCAGAACCATCGTGATCGATAAGAAGATTGACTAGGCTCATAGACACCAGCTGCAATCTTATCTCGAAGAAGTGCAACTACTTTTTCCTTAATTCCAGGGGGGATAGGGACGTTAGAATAGGCCCACAGTACATGCAGTGTGACTGCAATAATATAGGGAGTAAAATAATCTTCCCGAAATGTACCTCTGTCTTCTTCGCCAAAAGCGAGTGTCTTTTCGTTAAGCTTGAGAATATGTAAAAAGAGCTTTTCTTCCTCTGGCCAAAGAAATCCATCTTTATTAATGTCCATTAGTTCGACTCTCTCCACAGTAAGTTTTGTGGTAGGAATGAATTCGGGTGGAACTTTTGATAACTCTGTAAGTGAGTCCAACGGATTCTCAGGGAAGCGCTGTAGTACACGCGCATCCTCTAGAAATACTTCTTGTACTGGCTTTACCTTTCTATCGACTGGTTTGTATGCTCTGAATTCCAATGGGACACTATTTAAATAGGGCTGACCAGCAGAAGGTATATTGGGGGCTTTCAAGGTAGTGGTACATGACATGGTTACATAAGAGACCATAGGTATAGAATTCCTGTTGAAGGAATTTAGAGGTGACATACGCAGAGAATGAGTAGGGGTTGATAACAGATCAGACATAGGACTGGGTATACTTAGCGACGAAGGACCGCGAGTAGCTAAAGATAAAGAAAAATGGTGCATGTGATGGGGGGTCCTGCTCCCTAAAATGTGGTGTTCCGAATCTGCTAGAATTAGCCGCGAAAGGAATGCGCTGAAAAAGTCGGATTTACATATTCAATGACTTCTTCAGTGACATCGCGCATGGCCTTGATGAGAATTTCCTCGACGCGCTCGCGCATCAAATCCTCGCGCTCGCATTCCGACTGTAAATGGTTATCGTCGTCGTCCGTGTCATCCTCGAGGTCCATGTCCGATTCGCTGTCGCTACTGTCATTACCGCGCGAGACACTTACTAAACCTGGTAAGTCATTGTCGCCATCGTACGAGTCTGGAGATGTGCAGCGTGCATGGGAGCCGGGCGGGTGCATTGGCCTGCAGATACGAGTGTCGGGATCATGGGTGACAGAGAGAGTGGAATGAGGAAGCGGAAGTGGGTGATTGCATGCTCGCACCGCATGGCAGTCGGCCTCGCGTGTGCATGCGCACACGGATGACGGAGGTGACGGGGGTGACGAGAGGACCGGTGACGAGGGAATGTAGACGGGTGATGATGGTGTGTACTTGGGGGATGGGGAACGTGATAGGGGTGGTGTCGCCAGGATATCCACGAGGTCCAGATGTGAGAGAAAAACGAATGCTGTTGGGCACGTGTCGATCAATGAAGGGGGGCCGTCCGCGCGGTCGACGTGCATATTCTCAATACTGTAGACTGAGTTGTCGATGAAACTAAGGAGAATACTTGTGAGTACGTCATTCAGTGCTGTGTCCAGATGTAGCGCGGGGAGTGCATGCTGTGCAATCATCGCATGCTCGGCACCGGCGACGATCGATCGCGTCCTCCTGGTCCTGCTGTGTGCCTCGTGCACTCTCGAGTGCGTAGTTCTCCTGCGTGTGCGTAGTTCTCCTGCACATGTGTATCTGGGGTGATTGTAAGTGCATGCACATCGACGGAGTCCATGAGTATGCTTATATTCTCCAGGGCTGCGTGCTCTATGAGCGGCGGGATTCTGTAGCTCTCGACAATCACAGCTGCATCGACACGGCCTGTATCTACTGTAGTGTCTCCAATAGTTAATATATTTTTGAAATAAAAGTCAGTGCTGAGCACACCTTACTTGTCCTGTCCACCATTGTCTCGACCGTGATTCTCCATGGCATCGGTGGGGACATTCGACTCGCAAGGGAGCGTGTCGTACGAAAACACGGGCCATGGATGCTGCGCGATATCTGTGCGCTCGAAGCCGTGTGCATTTGCATTGTCCATGGCCTGGTATTCCCGTGCTGCACTGCGGCGTTGGAGATCCTCCTGCACGTGCGTCGTGGTAATGTTTGTAAAATCGCGTGGGCTGCCTACCACCATGTTATCGTCGACCACGAGAATCACGCGCTCAACAAACGGTGTCAGTCCGTAGGCGTCGAGGACTGCTACTGCGTCCTCGCGGCCTGTATTTACTATAGCACATCGAGTAGTTAATATATTTTCGAATAAATATTCAGTGCGGGGCGCACCTTGCTTGCCCTGTCCGCCGGTGTCTCCGTCTCCATAGCAACACCGAGGGCGTCAGGTTCAGAGGGGAACACGTTGTGCGAATAGACTGGCCCAGGACATTGCGCGTACTCTGTGCACTCGGTGTTGTCGCTGTTCGCATCCTGGAGGCCGTCGAGGTTCATCGTAAGTGCTGAATTGTCGAGAGGAGTCGAGGAATGAGCCAGGATACCTGTGGAAGTTCGAGACATCCCGAGTGTGCCATTGGCATCGTTGAAAAGGGTGCCACTAAGTTCAAATTCCCCAAGATAAAACTGAGAAGCATTAGGAACAGAAAGAGAGTACTCTGAAGAGCACAAAAATGTCGGCATAGAGGGGGAGCGATGTGCGTCATGCGCGCTGGCGCCGTCGTTGCGTTCGTGGGGTGCTGAGTCAGCGTGATGATGCAATTCTGATGGGAGACTGTCCTAATGTCGAGGAGCGACGGGGACAGAGGAATCCGTGGCCATTGTAATGATACGATCGTCTTGTATGACCGTCTTCAGGAGACAACGGGGATCGCATGTCCTTGGGGCCTGGAGGGAATGAAATATGTCAGTGCGCGCCACATTTGGTGTGCGAGAGTTAATAATTGCTTTGAAAATCCTTACCGAGCTCGACGAAGGCTCCAATTTCGTCGCATTGAATGTCGTGTCGAAGGGGAAGGGGTTCGCGGTACTGTCAGGACCAATCCCATGCGGCGTGGGGTCGTCGATAAATGTGGCTTCCGTGGGTATTCTCCAAGGCAAGGGTGCTATTAGACCTATATCTGTGACGGGGGGGTCTTCTTCACGTGCGACAGGATATTCGAGATTCGGGAGGTCGACGTCGTTGACTGACGTCGCACCCGGCCAATCACAGTTAGTGTAGTCATGCAGGAAAAATCGAACAAAAGAGTGCCCTTCGCACTCGAAGGGGTGTCCGCGGCTAGAATAAATTCCGAGAGGTCCAAATACTCTGCCCGAAAGTGTCACATTGGGTATGTACCAGTCCTCGTAGCGGCTGCCCTGCCAATATCCGAATGAGCACGGATAGGCGTCGCCGCGATAGATTCCTGCGCGATAGCGTTCATCAACATTCAAGGGCGTGGGCTCAGAGTTCCAGTCAGCGGGCGCGAGAGTGTCCGTGGGTAGAATCGGGGTATCGATAATATGAGTACTAGGTTCCAGTGCCGAAATGAGAAAAGAGTCTGCCGAGTTGGATTCTACAATGTGCGAATGAGGTTCGAAGTCGAGAGGGTGCTCTGGAGTCGCGAGAAGCTCGTGCTCACCGTTGGAGGAGTGTGGGTTCTTGAAAATGAGATAAGTTCCGTCGGGTCGCTCATCGATGGTGACCTGGTTGTCACACTGCCACAGCCATCGGAGGAGAAGGTCGAAGGGAACGTGGTCGGTGATGTAGAGATTCGCCCAAGTGGTGACTGCGCCGCACTGCAGCGGGACTTGCTGGACTAAGCCGAGGAGATCTCCTTCGCCGCCGTTTGCATCCTTCATGGTAATTCGGTAGCTGTGGCTGAGAGGTTGTTGAATCTTGTCTTTCCATATGCGCGAGTGTACGATGTTTAACATTGAACCTGTGTCGACAATAGCATCGATCTGGCGCCCGTCGCAATCAATAGAAAATTGAATAAGCGCGCGCCGATTCCACATAATAATAGTACTTGCCACCATATTATTGTCGGGCTCTGCGGGTGCCCGTTTGTACTTAATAATTTCCAATAAATAATTAGAAATCTCTCTTGAGGATCCAATTATCTCACCTACTGAAATTATAATAGAAGTACTTAATATTTTATTGAGTACTGCTGCAGGCTGAACCTGACCCGAAAGAGCGGATTGGGTGGGAAGGTATTTCTGCGCTTTCTCCGATTTTTCGGGCTCTGCCTCTTTATTAGCTGGGATTTTCGTTGGAACTGATAATGACTTATGAGACTTCTTCGGCTTCTCCGGGGTTTCATCTTCCATAATAACATCGTCATCTTTGGGATCAAACTGAGGGGGCTGAATAATAATTGGGTGGGGTTCCGGGGGTTTGTCCACTTTAGGCTTATCTGCTTTGGCTTTGTCAGCTTTGTCATCAAGTCTTCGAGCCCAACTAGGCTTGGCAGGAGGGAACACATCTTCAAAGCGCTCCTTGCATGCTCCCTTGGTGGACTTGGAAGAGCGCTCAGCAGGCATAACAAGAATGTCAGATTCAGTGTCAGAAATGCAAGCCATGGTTTCTGCAGTAAATGAGATAAAGTTTGACTGCACAAGCTGGGTTTTATGGAAGGCTGAGACAATAGGCTCATCCCTTCCTCTGCGAATAGGAGACCCATCTGGCATTGTTAACTTGCCATTTATGTCACGTTTTATTGTCCCTTTATTCAAAAGGTCAATAATCTCTGGACAATAATTCATGGAGTGCCCTTTCTTCCCACAACCATAACAGGTCATTTCTCCATGCGACAATGGTCTATTGTCTGCCATTGTTGCAGGGGGTCCTCCTGAACGCACAATGGGTGATGAAGTGGATTCTCCCGGCCTCCTAGGACGTTGTACAATTTGTACAATATCCTTATCCAACTTGTATGCCCTGTAAAACAGAGTAGAGTAGTTAGGATCATCCAATGACAGTGTCTGAAGTTTCCTAATAATTGTTTCTACTTCATCAAATTCTTCCGCTGCTGTTCCCTCATCTTGTAATGCACACAGGCGCACATGCGCCTTATGGCCTGACTCCATCTTGCGCTTCTTCTTCCTCTTGATTTTTCCAGATTTATCTTCAGAGCTTGAGGTCTTCTTTGGCTGTTTCTTGGACCTCTTCTTGTATCTAGAAAATTCATCGTCACTATTTTCCGACTCAGCAGAATCTGAATCAGAGTCCGTACCATCCTTAGAATCAGATTGGTCTTGATCATGGTCAGAATCTGACTCAGATTCATCAGCATCAAATCTATCACGGCGAAACATGTCCTCCAAAGATTTTAACATGTTTGCAACAGTAAAGGGCTTTGTTAAATCATGGGCAGGGTTAATTTGCAGTACACGTGATTCAATTCTTGGCCTAAGAGTCCTAGGTAACCCTTTCCAAAATGCCTTGTTATAAGTGTCTTCATCTATCATATTCTTCTCCTTTAGCCATCCAGCAATACGCTGAAATCCACGATAGTAGGAACGTACTGTAGAAAGTGAGTGAATAGAGGAATGACGTGCTGTATGACAAAAATCCTTAAGGTCAGTACGCTTGAACCGTCTTTCATTCCTTTCTGAATCATAAATCTTCAAAATTTCTGCCTTGAGATTATCCCAGTTAGGAGTCTTGTAGTCAGAGGGAGTTTCTATTACCTCTCGCACTGCTCGACTACAATACCGGCGAATTGTTTTACACTTTAATCCATTATCAGTTACCTGATTAAAGGACAGTAAGGCATCATAGTCTTCCAGAAAGTCCTTAACTTGGGATGACTGACCTTTAAAAGTCCTGGGAGCTTGTTTTCCTCCACGCACAGGCATATTATGAACTGAGCGAGTCTTAGACATGGTGGAAGAACTGGTTAACAGGGTGGTGGTGGAAACTGAAGTGGGGTTAGTGAACGAGGTGGTGGTGGATTGTATGACCGCTGTGGCTGTGGGTGCTGACGATGATGGATTGGACACTGTGGCTGCTGGTATCGCTGAGGTCGCTGTGGACGTGGTGGGTACTGGTGCTGATACTGAGGCTGAGGCTGATAAACTGACTGATAAGGGGTTACTGGGACTGATAGAACCTGGATTGGAAATGGAGGAGATGGGATTATTTGAGGAGTTACCAGACAGGGATGATATACTGATACTTGATAATCCTGAGGTGGGTGTAGGTGATTGTAATGATGGCACGTTGGACAAGTGGAAATGGGGAAAGTAAAGGGGGTATTATGGGGATAGTATGTTACCTGATAAGCAAGGAAACTACCCCTCGCAGTGGGCTCCAGTTTGACAGACGAGAATGGTGTCTTGGATAAAACACAAACCAAAACAAAATCCTCCTGAGGTCACCGGACTTGAACAAAGTCGGGAAATATTCCTCAGTGTATTCGTTGTAGTAATCGCTTGGTTACCTGGTAGTAATCAAGTGTGAGAGTGTGTGTGTGAGTAAGAGGGAAAGACTGTCTTATAATAAGACACAGAGAATGACCGAGTAATAAGTGACCAAGTTGACAGATGACTGATTGACAGATGACCGAGTTATGACTTCCTTGATGCCTATAGTGCTATGCCTGAATAACACTGTATTCAGGTAAGTATGAACTTGAGTATATACCGACTACTGGGGTGAGAAGAATGCTCTGTAACGTAAGAGCAACAATTTTCCTCTGGAAGTCCAAGTGGACTTTCAGGGTTTATATACTAAAGAAGGTGGGAAAATCTAAATAATAGAAAAGCGCCTTCAATAGAAATAACAATAGAAAATGTGATAATAAAAGTCTGAGTCATAACAATAAGAAATGACTCTGGATAAAACAAAAGAGAGTGGGGGATAATAAAAATAATAAAGACAATAGAAACCTACCTCGCTATTGTCCTTCTAAGTGTCAGACATTAGTCAGCAAAGATGACCAAGCACTTCAGTGACTAAAAACAGACAGAGTAATAGCGCAAACACGCAGTGATCAATATTTGAGTATAATACTTGGACGTGTGTGAGTGGAGAGGTTGAGCAAGTGTGACAGCGAGTACAAAGAAAAATTCCTCGTCAATCCTAAATCCACGATGTTCCCTTCCCTCTGAATCCTTCAGCATAAACTTCTTCCTGGTCTCCAGTGCATGCGAAGTCTAGCTCATAAGCTTCGCCATAAATGCAGCCTTGGCAGCTTTGGCCTTGGCTTTCATTGCCTTATTGTTGGCCTTGGCCTTGGATCGCTCCGCTTACCAAGCTCGATATCTAGAGTATTGTGTTAGTTATGCGAGTTTTATATTGAAACATGTTACACGTCTGTCAGGAGTTAGTAGAGAATACAATAACAATTTCTTGTATACATTATAATATATTGTTACAGGCACATTTGTAACAGTTTCCAGGATCATTTTTTGTAGTGATTCTTATAGGCACATTTGTAACAGTTTCTAGTGTCATTTCTTGTAGTGGTTTGTATAGGCATGTTGTTAACATTTCTTGTAGTAATTCTTGTAGGCACATTTGTAACAGTTTCTAGGGTCATTTTGTGTAGTGATTCTTATGTATTAAGAGTCAGTAGATAAATTTGTAAACCACTGTAAGGCTCTTTAATCCTTGTAAAATGAATATTAATAACTTTTTAGTCATGTTTCTATATAGGTTTTATAAAATGACATAGTAATATCATTTTGAAGCCATTGTTCAGCTGAATCTTTTAAAATGCATACTAGCCACTTTTTAGTAATGTTTTGTATACTTTTTGCAAAACAACATAGTAATATCATTTTGAAGCCATTTTGAAGCTGAGTCATTTAGAATGCATACTAGCCACTTTTTAGTGATGTTTTTGTATACTTTTTGCAAAACAACATAGTAATATTATTTTGAAGCCATTTTGAAGCTGAGTCTTTTAGAATGCATACTAATCACTTTTTATTTATGTTTTTATATACTTTTTGCAAAATGACATAGTAGTGTCATTTTGAAGCCATTTTTCAACTGAGTCTTTTAGAATGCATACTAGTCACTTTTAAGTAATGTTTTTATATACTTTTTGCAGAACAACATAGTTGTGTCATTTTAAAGTAGTTTTGAGGGTCATTTTTAGGAGAAATGTACTAACAATTTTGTGTAACCTTCATATATAGTTTTAATAAAAGAGCAGAGTAATATCATTTTGAAGTCATGTTTTGAATAATCCTACTCTGAGATACTTAGCAAGATATTAGACTATTATCAAACAGCGACAAATAAATTATTATTTACATTATGCTAGATTATCAACTAATATTAAATGGTAGGCACAAGGTTGGTAGGCGATATAGCAGACATATAAGACTCATGTGATAACATAATATATTATTGTTATAAAGTGTGTCGCACACTCTTATATACTATTATAAAAGTTTTATAAACTACGATCATATGATATCTTAAAAGTAAGTCAAAAGTATTATGAGAAGCTTACTATATATTACTAAGCAATATACCAGTTGTTGAATAACATTATGGACTGTTATATTGCTTTTATTTAAAAAGCACTAGCATTTTCTTGTAACTTTTTTGTATAAATATATAGATGACATGCTGGACTATTGCAGAACTGTTACTAAATATTTATAAGTGAAATATTGGACGAATGACATACCAAAACATTGTAATGCAGTTGTTAATGATACCTGGAGTATCTAAATAATATTATAAGTAATTCTAATACTTTATTTCTTTCCAGTATCTGTATAAAATAAATCTTTACATAAATTTAGTTGAAATAAAAACAGAGTTTCAGAGCTTCAAGAAATAATACACTAATAAGAAAGACTGGAGTTCTTGACAGTTATTAGTATAGCATCAAATA